TAAACTAATACTTTATTAACTAATTCAATTATCAATATTTATTACTGATTCTCAATTACTTATATATATATATATATATATGTTTTTATATAAAGTCAGGCAACTATAAAAAACTAGTTTGTGCAGCGTACATGGGATGAGACACATGCTCAACATCATCATATTGAGGATGACTGAATTTATAAAAGAGGTAACTATATTTTTTAAAAGTAAATTTTATTGTTATTTGAATTAGTTAGTTAATGTTTTAATTATAATTTTATACTTTAATTAGATGTTTGACATTGTGAATTCATTTTTTGAGGAAAAGGTTGACGATATCCTCACATATTAAGTACAATATTTTGTGGATGGTATGAAGATTTAGATAGTTTTTTAGAAAATTGTATAGACCATGTGAGTTTTGTGTAATTTCTATAAAATTTTGTATTAAAATTTGAATTATTTATATATACTGAAACTAGTTGGCTGACAATAAATTATATAGAATATTTTTATTTGTAGGAATTGAGGAAATAAATAGAAACAAAATTAATATTTTTTTAAAAAACTACTTTTAAGATCAGTTATGACTATAATCACTTATGACTAACTGCTTTTAAAAGTTACATACTTTTAACATCCCCTGAAATAATAGCAGTTATAGATCGTTATTCAAAGTATTTTTTATCCATTGTTAAAAGCCTATTCTATCATAGTGAGTAAAGAATCTCAAATTAATCCAAGTGGTTTATCAATCCTAGTTCTATATAACTACCTCAATGATGTGTCACATGTTGTTATCTTATTCCTTTGGCTCTCAATAGAAGTACATTGCAACTTATTTGCTTTTTTTGTTCACTACTTCTAGTTATTGGCAAGACTACTTTTAATTTATGGATGGTAAAAAAAAAAGTAAATAATGTGGTTCATTTAGAGTTTGAGTGAGCCAAGTGAATGATGCCAATCTTTCTTCAAGATTAAGAATTTCTCTGTGGGTCATATCTGTTTGGCCAATTTCAGAGAACATAAATATTTCCCTGGTTAATTTCAAGCCAAACAAATCTCGAATTAATGATTTTTATTTTTCAATAACTATGCTCGCCAAAGCGAGTTGCTGGAATTTCATGAATCCTTACGAGTTAATAGTTTAACAAAAAGGTGATATATATCATCTAAAATAATACTTGGATTAATGCTGTTAGTGATTATTTTACAAAAAAAAAAATAGTATCTAGAAAGTGTGAATATAATTGTATGAATAATTATAAATAAGTAATTTTAACAATAACTATATATTTTTTATTTTCTAGCCACAAAAACTATGACATGGATTTTTGCCCGTGCCTATATCGGACGGGAGGCAATATTAAATTCTTATATTTAGATTTTAATTTTTTAATAAGAAAAATATACCACTGGAATCATTTAATAATAAAGAAGGAACATACAAATCTGAAGTATCATTACAACTTGTTTGAAAATAAAATTTTGGGGGAAAAGACCTAATTACCCTTATAGTGTTTTGTAAGTATATAAATAACAATACATTCAACTATTAAAAAGTTATGTAATTAATAAGTGAACATTCATTCATGAACAATTACAAAAATTGACAGACTTGGTTTAATTTTACAAGTTTTGCTTTAATACAAATAACAAAGCATTTCACTATTAACAAGATACCATTCGGCTGTAAACAATAAACCATGTCTATAAATTTTTGTAACTTGTTTATGGATGAATATGCGCTGTTAATTATGTATCATAACTTACGAATAGTCAAATGCTTTGTTGACGGAGCAAGACTTATGAAACACTACGGGGATAATTAGGTCTTTTTATTCCCCAAAATCTTCTTTTTATATGTGTGAGGGGTGCAAAGATATTTGGAATTTTTAATGTTTTTCTTAGATATTAAAATGCTAGAGGGTCTTTAGATGATAGTTTCCCTTTATAATATATCCTTGATACAAAATAAATGACAAAATTCGAAAACATGTCTCTTGATGCTCATCTCTTTAACTGGGAGCATATCCTTATAATTTACCATAGAGGGGCAGATATACACACAACTTGATGAAAATAGTCTTAATGGCCAAGAATCATTTGCTTCAGCGGCAGTAACCTCTATTTTATAAAAAGGGTTCTAAGTTTTACTCCCTGTAAGTCCTAAAATACATGCCCAAAAAATGGGTGGTGAAGTTAAAAATCAATTAGGATAGATAGGTGTGTGTAGGGTTTAATTACGGGGTTGTGTGTTATGTGCTGAACGAATGAATGATGCATGCATGTGCCCCCTATGGAGATATGTTTAGGTGCTGGTCGTCTGGTAAGTAATTTGGAACGTCTAGATTTTTACTAATTTTATTTTATATTTATTAAAATATAAAATACAAAATTTTAATCAATATACTTTATCATTAATGTAAACAATATGTATTTGATATGGATAGTCTAATTTAATATTATTTCTTTAAAATTTTTTATAAAGTAACTATCTAGATGTACTTTATATTTAGTCTGTTCAGAGTATATTTAAATATTTAATTTATAAAAATTTATAAAAATTAATATTAAATTAAATCATTTAGATCAAATATGCATTATATAGATCAATAATAAAATAAATTTATTAAAATTTTATAATTTTTTATGGTAAATATAAAATAAAATCTATAAATCTGGATTGATGTTTTGCTCATCACTCAATAAGCACCAAAACTGAACCCCAACAGAGATAGGGTCAAATAGGATAATAAAAAAAAAACCTTAATGATCTTTTGCAATGAATGAAAAACTAGACAGAATTGATCGATTCAACCAATGACCATGAACTGGCCAGTTGGTTAATCTAGTATATGACCTAACTCGAGGTAGTGTTAACCCAAACCAACTCAATCAATCCAAGGGTGACCTAATCAACTTAGCTGTAACTTAGTGGTGACCTGGTCAACTCAATTAGTTTATTTGAGCAAAATTATTTAACTTTTTATTGGAATTTTATCAAAGATACTGAAAATTGAATTAGTCAATAAACTAGTCAAAACAATATAGCAAGAGTTAATAGGTCAATTAAAGGTTAACTCAGAGTCATACTAGTATTAATTAAAATAATATAATATAATTTATATACATAAAAATATTTATATTTGAATATGAAAAAAATGGATATTTAAATAAAAAATAATTAGTTCTGGTCAAATAACCCAACAAAAATTCAATAGAGTGAAAAATCTTATACATGTAAGACAATCTCCATAAAAATTCAACAAACTTAGTAAAATATATATTTAATGCTAATCCATAAATATTCCAACAATATGCTCTTTCCATTGCTACTTACTGTTCGATTTCTATGAACCTGCACCGGAATAATGTTATAGATCCTGAGGATGGCTTTTGGTTATTATTGTCCCACCTCGTTGAAGCGATTCTTGAATTGAATGGAAACCATTATAGAGAAGCTTGTTACCAAGGAGCCATTAAGGATATCAAAAAAAGTCATTTTTGCAATCACATCCCGGGCACAGCCAACCCTCACCATCAGGTGGAACTGTGTGCACAAAATGTCTGCCACAAAAAAATTCAAGTCAGCAACACAGATTTAGAGATCAAGTATAGAGTATAGACTACAATCCTGGAGAATTGATTTTCCATTTAGGAACCAAATATAAAGGATCATAGAGTTGATAATATATCAGAAAGGGAATGGGAAAGACAGCTAGACAACAAACCAAATAATCCCAAGCATGTGAAACTTAAAATTTTGAAAATAAACCCAAGAATGAAACTCCAAAGTCCAATACCACAGCCAAAGAAATCCAATCCAAACCAAACAACATGAAAACTATGGCTCTTGAATGGTAAATACTCAACATAAGTAAATTGAATCAGAATGTAACATAATGCTTTATGAAACAGAATGTAAATTGAAACCCAATGCATCTTTGAATCGTGAAATAGAATGGCACTCAACATGAGTAAATTCTCAGGTAAAGGTAGACTATGTGCTGAAAGATTAGAACTTGCTGAGAAGCTAAAAGAGATGCATTGTGAAAGTTGGAATTGGCTTTGGAGAGGAAAGCAGAGGACGGATCTTGGCAGATCTACATCGTTAAATTGAAGTTCATAATTTAGATTTGATAACACAAATTTCATTTAAACATTCAGATTTACAATAGAGTAGTGGAGAGAAACCTCATCCAAAAAGTCACATGACAATATTCAAAAAGCAAAAAAAATAAACTCGTTTGCTCTCTGTCCATCGCACATTCGCAGGTCAATTCTGTCACTGATACACTTCCCAAACCCAATTACCACCACAGAAAATAGGCCCACACTGTAGCAACTGAACTTGGAGTCTCATTCATTGTGAGAGAGAGACTCAGCAAGAGTCAATGATAGCGGATGAACTTCACACCAGGAAAAGTTTTTAAATTTTAAATTTTTATCGCGCTGGGGAAAAACGAGCACAAAGAAACCTGCACTGAGGGAGAATCAACACTCCGGTGCCGAAGTCGTCGCAGGAGCCAACCGTTTCCGCGCACATGCTTCGTAGACGCAGCTTGAAACGTCACAGCCATGTGCGAAGTCACCGGTGACAGCGGAGAAAGAGGAGGAGCCGTGTGCGAGAGAGGTCGAGGTGACGAGGTCCAGGAAGAGGAGGGCATTTCAGTCTTTTAACACTCCAAGATATTGACACGAAAGGACCTTTGGCTTGCGTTAATTTGAGGGAATTTTGAGCAATTAATGTCACGGTGAAGTATTTTCTGACAATTTTCCCTTAAATATCTGGCATAGCAACTTTAACATAATATATACATAAATAATTTAAATAACATATTCATATTAATATTTTATCTTGTTATAGTACATTAAAATTTTGCATTTATTTACTATACATATTTCTTTTCTATATATATTTGGTTGCAGACTTGATTTTGCACTATAGATCAATACAAGTGGACTCCGAAAATACATAGTCAAGCTTTCTAAAATAATAACTAAAAATATCATCATAATTAAAGAGAAATGTAAATTAACGAACCTTTTATAACATTATCCAACACAACATAGTATCCCCCAAACAAACAAAGCAAACCTGCATGGTACAACTTCCTAGAGTACGAACCCTGATCTGGGTGCACTCAATTAGTTGTTCATCATTATTGTTAAAGAAAATAGCTACTAGAATTACCCAAAAAAAAAGAGAAGAAAATAGCTACTAGGAGGCCACAGAGCGTCAACTATATAATATTGCTTTACACGTCTGGGTAACTGGAAGTGCATGTATGTGAGTGCTGTGTGATTATTATTCTACTCATTAGGTAATAAACCTAAGGGCGCCTATATGCCATGGGAACTAAACATAGGTCATTCTTCCTTTTCACCACAGCGCCAAAGCTCTCAGACATGTCTAATTCTTCATGCTTTTCTCCATTAGGAAGTTTCCAATCAAAATGATAAAGCAAATTGGAAATTATCAGTTCTAAAATTGGCGTAGCAAATGACACTCCAGGGCATATCCTTCTTCCACCACCAAATGGAATCAATTCAAAATTGGTGCTTTTGTAATCAACTGTGTTGTTAATAAACCTCTCTGGTTGAAACTTCTCAGGTTCGTTCCAATAATCAGGATGTCTATTAATGGCCCAAGCATTGACGTTCACAACAGTTTTTGCTGGTATATCGTACCCATTGATTCGACATGCCTCACTGTTTTCTCTTGGTCCCAATAAAGATACAGGTGGGTGTAATCTTAAAGTTTCTCGAATGACTGAGTCAACATATTTTAACCGATGAAGTTCTGATTGATCCACGTATCCTTTGTTTCCATAGATCCTTCTCACTTCTTCTTGTGCCTTCTTCATCACTTCTGGGCTTCTTATCATTTCTGCCATTGCCCACTCTGTTGTTGTTGCTGTAGTTTCAGTCCCACCAATGAACATGTCCTGAAAATGTATCAGTGTCATGGTTAATAATATCGTACTATAGTTATGGTAAAACATGTAGAGTTGATGAATGTAAAACCTTAGACTGACCTGGAGGATAGCTTTGATGTTGTCGAAAGTTAAGGGAATTTCAAGATCATGCTCTTTCTGAATCCTGAGAAGAACATCAACCAGATCCTCTTCTGCTTCTCCGTCCTGCTTATGGCCATCTTTCTTTTCTAAGTGATCGTTGATGATGTTGCTGAGCATCCTATCAAGATCTCTGTGTGCCTTGTCAGCTTTAGCTCTCGTACCATTGATCACACGAAGGAATTCAAGTGAAGGATAGAGATCACAGATTGATAAGCCACTCACAAGCTCGACTGTGTACATCATTCCCGCAAGAGCACCTTCTACGTTACCAGTCTTTCGACCAAAGGCTGCTCGAGCAATTATGGAATTCGTGAGTGGATAGAGTTTCTGAGTGAGATTCATTACAGAACCAAGTTCATGTTCAGAAACATGCTTCACAAACGCAGAAACCTCCTCCTCCCTTATTTTTCTGAATGTCTGGACTCTTTTCACGGACAAAAGCTCCAAAGTACAAATCTTTCGGAGTTGCCTCCAATAGTTTCCATAAGGAGAGAAGGCTATGTCTGTGCTGTTATAACACAAGGCTTCACCAGAAAAGATTTTGGGTCTGTTGGAGAAGATGATGTCGTGGGTTTTCATGATCTCTTTGGCTAGGTCTGGTGAAGAGATTATGACGTGGGACATCTGTCCGAGCTGAAGATGCATTATGGGTCCATACTTGTTAGCGAGGTCTCTAAGAGATCGATGTGGCAAGGACCCAATCTGGTGAAGGTTTCCTATAAGTGGTAGTTTCCTTGGTCCTGGTGGTAGGTTTTTGGGATATTTCACGGAAATAAGTTTGCGTATGAAGACGACGAAGCAAAGGAAGGTGAAGAGGATGGAGTGTGGGATCTGGATCTCCATGATGATCTATGGGTATGGAAATGGTGCAGCTGTGTGGTGTGCGCGGGGAAGAAGATGAAGTGGCGAGGCTTTATATAATGGATGTCGGTAATGCAGATTAAAGAGTAACAAGTTCTCTTTGCACCAAAAAAAAAAAACAGAGAGGGAGCGTAAATAGTCCTCTGTTCTGTTATGACGATGTTATCAATCAAATAAATAAGAAAACTAATTGTCATATCAGCATCACTGACACTCTGGTTTATAGATTATTCTCAATGATTTGATATTGCAAAGAAAAGATTGCCAAAAGTCAAAGACGCCGTTTGATATTCTGAATGAGGTTAAGAAAAATATTTTATTAAATCATCTTAGTCAAATTTTGAGGACACAGTGGAGAAATTGTTTTAGAAAAACTATTTTATTTCACAGATAATTAATATAATAATATTGATGCATCAAGTACGTGATCATTACAGAGGTAACTAAATGTTGAATAATTGTTATTTTATTCAACATTTATTATTCTCTCCATTAAAAAATATAAAATATTTTTAATAAAATTTATTTTTATTAAATATCCTATAATTTAAAATAACTTTATTTTTTTATATTTATTTCTATTAAATATTATATAATAAATATAAATTTATTTATCAATAGGGACATTTAAAAAAAATAATAATTACGCTTTGAAAAATTAAAAAAAATTTATTTTTTTTAACAATGTTTATATTTTTTTAACAGAGAGGGTATAATTTAAGTGATAATTAGAAAAGAAGATATAAAATGTTTTATTATTAATTTAATAACAAGAATTTATTAATAAATAATACTCCCTCCATTAAAAATGTAAGACATTTTTAACCGAATCTCACCCTTAATAAAGTAGTTTTTTGCTTTCAAACTAACTCTATCTTTTTATATTTATCTCTATTAAACACCCTACAATAAATATAAAGGTAGTATTCATAGGGATTTTTTTAAAAAAAGCAATAATTATATCTTGAAAGACTAAGCCTTCTATTTTTGAACATTTAACTTCTCAAAAAATACTTTACATTTTTTAAGGAAAAAATATATATATATATAATTAATATATATTGATTTAATTAAAAACAAATATCTTTAACATATATATCAATATATGATTAAGTATATACATTTTTTTATTTAAAATCATATGGCAGGCGTTAGGATCAAATTGACAGCTTTAAGAGAATCACAACGAATCCTAATGTTACTAAAAACTTGATTTTCATTTTTGCAAGTGGCAAGCCGAAATTGTAAATATTCAATACTTTAAAATTGTAAATATTCAATACTTTTTACAACTCAAATTAATCTGTTTATAGTCAATTAAACGGATTTAAGGTCACATTTGGTTCATAGAGAAAGAAGTAATGGAAATGGTTGGAATGATAAAGAATAGAAAAAAATAAAAAAAATCGTGAATATAAATTTATTTGATAGAATATTTAAGTATATGTGAATGGAGTTTATATATTACTTGTTTAAATATAAAGTAAAATATAAAAATCATAATACCCTTACCATATGGCAGCAGCAACAACCTTTTTTTCCTGTCTTTATGCATTTGCTTTTTTTATCTTCTTTTAAAATTTTTCACATAGGTTTATGTGTGTGTGTGTGTATAATAATAATATACACGCACACATATACTAACATTTCTTCAAAAAACTTAAATTATTTTAAATTTAAATTTTACTTTATAAGAAACAAAAATTAAGAAATATAAATACCATACACGTAGCAGTGTGTTACGTTCTTCTAGTGAGTTCGGTGAAGATTTTGTGGGTGAATGAATGAATACACGGCAAAAATGAAAAAAAAAAAATTGAGGAAAATAGGCATGGATATGCATTGGCGGAACCACGTTATCCTTAAGGGAGTCAATCTCTCAATGCTGTAAGGATCCTTCAGGTTTAGACTCATTGTTTTTTTAGATATAATTCACAACCCGACAGCTTTTGCCTTCTGTATAATCTATACAATATATGTGAGTTTGCTTATTGTCTAACCCCTTTCTCCCAGACCAAAAAAGGATATGGATCTACCATGTCGGTAAGGTTTTTAATATGTCAAATATATGGTTTTTCTATATTATTTATTTTGTAGTTTTTCTCATATTATTTATATTTTTTATGGTTAATATTATAGATATATCACTTCACTTTTAAAATTTTTCTAAATTCATATTATATAATTATATGTAACTTTTTAAAAAAAATTATAAACTTACATAAACAATTAATTATTATAAACATTAAAAATAAATAAAAATATGGATGATCACATATTAATGTTAAAAATTTGGCCCCCTTAACATTCACACTGGTTCTACTGTTGTGGATATGAAAAGTTTATAAGGATATTTTGGTAAAAACATATTAGACTTAAGGTGAGTGATATAATTTCTCTCATTTTTGAAAAACACACCCACTTCTCAAAATATATTAATCCCCGTTCTTGAGAAAGGTTATTCCATATCTTTTTAAAGCAACCAAATATAAAGTAGTAATGAAGATATGACCATCATTCCATAGCCCAAGATTCTAGCTAGTAACCAAATATGACCTAAGGGTAACGTAAAAGTCAACTTTTACATGTAGTCACGTACTGAATTTCAGGACACGTGTATAATAAAGAAAACATTGTTGTGAGCCGAGTTATGTGAATCGCAAAATTTTAAAGAAAAATGGACAGTTAGGTTACCAATGAATAAATTAATGATAATTAGATATTTGATAAAATTTTTTACAAAATAAATTATAAATATTAATTTAAACAGTTATAAATAAAAATTTTCGTTATAATATAAAAGTTACATTTGATATTACTTGTTTGTAATTGAAACTCCTGACTTTGTATCAATTTTAAATCAATATATTTAACTTATTTTTTAAAAAAATTTGTTGAGACCTAACTGTCATTAATTTATTTCTTTAGTATTTAACTGTCATTCTCCCAATTTTTAATTTTACTTTCATATTTTACTGTTATAATAACATATCGTATAAATAATTTTTATCATTTGAACATCAATTAATGAATTTCAAAGAATTTGATTATTCCACTTATGAGTTTTGTAGGATTAAAGTTTAATTTTTTACATAAAAAGTATGTAAAATACACATTTAGTCCTCTTTTTAAAAACAATCCCATTCAATATGCATGAAAACATTTAATTTTTTAATTTTATAATAAATTTCCATTCAATTAATTCTCCAACTTTTTTTTACCAACTACTTCTCTAACTTTGTTGAGTTTTTTCAATTATTCTTTAATTATTCCTGTTTAACAGAATATATATATATGGGGGGGTAGTACATGCATCTATGCATATATATGATTTTTTTTTTTAATGCCATATGTATGATTTTTAAACCAACAAACCCTCCCCCTTGCGTACATGACAACAGAGGATGCCAAAAGAGTTATTAAATATTAAACACAGTTTGGTGCTCAGGACTGACTGTCTTTGAATCACTTGTACAAACGCATTCACAAACTATAAATATTCTTCAAGTTGTTTTACATGGCTGCTTTTGCTTTTAATTGGTTTATCAATTTAATACTCCCTCAGCCCCTCTGATTCAATTTATAGGGCAAAGTGAAAATTTTTTTATCATATTTATAAATCACATCATTTAAATTTTTATCACTAATTTTTTTATCCCTCATTAAATGTTAAAAAGAAAAAAAATAAGCTATTAAAATGTGTATATTAAATAAGTAAAAAGTTAAAAACTTACTACATTTTCATACAAAGTTAGTTAATAATTTTAAAATTTTTCTTGATTCAAGTAAAACATGTTAAAATTAACTTATAATTATAAATAAAATAAAGAAGTAAATTTATTCCAGTATTATAACTAGAAGTCTATAATTAATGCTAGCGCATTCAGTGCAAGAGTGTATTATAATTTATAATTATAATTAAAGCTAGTTGTATGATTTTAGAAGCATCATGAGCTAGTAGGTGGGAACATGTATCGAGTCATATGGATTACTTAAAATAACTTGTTATAAGAATTGGGCTGAGTTGGGTTATAAAAATTAATTTAAATAAAAATGAATCTTTTTCAGCTAAAGCTAGATAATATGTAAACCAAATGGACAAACACGGATAAGTTAGGGTTGACGCATTTAATTCATATTTTTTATAAAGAATATTAAAAAAAATAAAAAAAATGAAGGGAGTTTTGGCACCACAGCCTCTGAAGACAATCAAATTTAGAATGAATCATAATAAAATTGATCGATCTCATATATTTATGGTGTGAATTTTTTTTTCGAAAGCATGAAATATACTATCATATTAGAACTTATAATTTATGTATATTTAAAAAAAATCATGCAAAAAGTAAATATATGGATTAGTGGGTTGGGTTGGGTTAAATTTTTTCTAAACATATACTGGCTGATCAACTCATGCGATCTGACTTGGCCTATACTTCTAACTCCAACTAGTTCACCTGACAAGTTACAATTATCAATAAAATGAATATAAAAAAATAATAAAAAAATCATTTCAGTAACCTAATAATACAAATAAATAAAGCACACAACTCAAGACAAATCATATTCATAACATCCTATCACTATCCGCAATCACTTCCTATATGTAAAAAACTAAAACTATATATTCATCGATTGATAATTTTTATTTTGCTTACCTTAAAATGTTCTGAAATAAGTAGTTTTGTTGAGCGAAAATCGTTGATAAGTATTTTTACTGACACTAGTCTGCACTTTACTTGATTAATTTGTCAATGTTTGTTAAAGTCAAATTAATTGCGTACGTAAAAAGACAACCACATGACATAATTGAGGAAATAATACTTATATATGTATATACAAGTCAACTGTTGAATTCAAACATTATGTAAGACATTAATATAAGAAGCAAGGATCACATGTTCGTGTATAAATTATTCAACTCATTTTCCCATGAAATTTGAATAATAATCCAAATTCTCCATGACTTGAAAGATGTAACTAATAATACAACTTGTAATGAATTTTATTATTTATATTTATATTCATTTACTGATTTAATGGATTATTTGAC